CTTCGTGGCATCTGCAAAAAAATATTAGTTTCATATAAAACTAAATCCAAAACAAAAATTCTGGGAGAGTCTTGTACTTTGGGCCGGCCGAAGGTACAATCATTTTAAAGGCCCAAAGTACAAGATGCCGCCATGTTTTAGAAATCCTCCCAAAAAAAAAAGGATATGACTTAATTGTTATTTGATATCTCTAAGTGGTACGTAATACTTCAAGGACTAAGTGGCTATAAAGAAAAATACATGTTTCTACTTACTTTTTCGAAAATTGTAAAAAATGTGGCACTATAAAAATTTACAATGGAGGCCCATTAACACTCTGGATGCAACTGAATCACACAAAATGAATTTTAAACACCTGTTGTTGGCGGGAAAGCTTAAATGCACTGTTGCCAACAATATTCATAAATGTAAAAGTTGGAATTGCACTGTTGTCACATAGAAGCTTGATGGCCCGAAGTACAAGATGGCCAGAGGTACAAGCCTTCCCCTTCAATATGTTTTGCCCATGTGAGGCTTTCATCAAGCACTAAATATTTAATACTGTTAACTTTTTGTAATTCAGTGTCTTTTATACTTATAATTATATTATTTACATGTTTATTGTTTTGTTTAAGTAGGTACCATATATTTTGTTTTTTCTATATTTAGCATTAATTTATTATCTAACAGCCAATTATAATATCTATCTAAATCACCATTTGCTAATTCAACTAGATTCTTTTGATCACTATCTGCATAGACCAGGACTGTATCGTCTGTGAAGGTGTAATACTGTCCGCTCAAACCTGCAAGTCTTAAGCTTAATACAAACAAGGAGTGGAATCAGGGCTGAGCCCTAGGACACTCCACAGTTATTTTTTATGACTGGACTTCTTTCATTGTCTACTTATATATTGTTGCCGATCTTGCAAGTACGTCTTGAAAAGCCGCAAAATCACACCTCTGAAGCCCATGAGTCGCAACTTGTTCAATAATAAATCATGGCTTACAACATCAAATGCCTTGCGCAGATCTATAAATACAGCTATTATTAATTATTATATACCCCTCATCAAGTTTAGTTGATACATGGTTTATGGACCATGACTGACATATTTGGTTATAAAAGAGAGCAATTTTGATTTAATAGCAGACTCCACAATTTTGGAAAACATGCTTATCAAGGATATAGGTCTATAATTGTTCATCAGCTTTTTTCAACCAGATTTATAAATGGGGCAATTTTTAGCAATTTTTAATTCTGTAGGAAACTCTCCAGTTTCGAATATTTTATTTACTAACTTAACAATTACTTTAATTATAGAATTTTTAAAGCTTAGAAGATCTTTGACTAATATAATATCATGACTTGCAGCTGCATCATGTTTAAGAGTAAGAAGTATCTTTTCAACTTCATCTTTATAAGTTGGGTTGGAGTTAAAAATACACTATTATCACTGTATAATTCAAGAAAAGTCATGTTGCTCTTTACATAATTTTTTTCAGTTTCTACATCCATGATAATATTGGGACCTATCTGTGAAAAATATAAGTTGAGAGAAGTAACAATGTCTTTAGTAGGTATTTGTTATGATACTTCCATCTATTTCCAATTCTTGAGTGAAACTTTCCTTTGAATTACCTTTCATAAAGAAGTTGATAATGTTCCACTGTTTTCTTGCATCATTTCCAGCCCTTTCCCATTTATTTTTGAAGTGCCGAATCTTAAGTGACTTTATTTTATTGTTGACATGTTCATATTTTTTTAAAGCTTGTTTTTTTTCTTTAATTAATTGAAGCACTCCATTGTTTATCCATTCATTACCTTCATGGCATTTAATTTGTATTATTGACTGTGATGCTTATTTTGATTTATTTCTTGATTTATTTATAATTTTTATTAGTTTTTGAAAAGAGTTTATATCAGAATTGACAAGATTTTCTTCAAAATTGTTTTTAAATTTTACTGAGTTTAAGATACATTTTCGGTAAGTTACCCTTTTTCGAGCCCTTTTTTTAAAATTTCTGTACTGTTTTTCTTGTTTCTAGATTTAGTTCCCTATAATCTGATAATGGACTGTCCTTTACCTTAACACTACATCTGTTTTTTATTGCTGAAGAGCAAATCACATGATATATTGTGTGGTATCATTTTCTCTAGTTGCCTGGCCTATCTCTATCTCATTAACTATTGCGAAATTATTTAAAGCTATTAAATTTTTGTATTCTTTGGTTATATTACAGTTCCAGTAAGTTAATATTTATGTCACCGATTACAATGTGATTTCTGCGATGGTTATGTAATAGAGTTTCAAATTCCTGCAGAAAGTCATTCTGGGATTAAATTTAACCGCATTTTTCAACCAAGGATTAAATTCAAAGTTTGTCTCAAATGATAGTTTATGAAAAACTAAGATATGAATGTATGATTGGTTTTGCTGTTGAATCAACCGTTTAGGTTTTACAGCCTGTCAGAGTTGCAAAAAACTCAATTATCAACTGTCAATATTTCCAAAACAGTTGAATATAGGTATAGGATATGATTAGGGGTGGGCAAAATAATCGATTAATCGATTAATAATCGATTAATCGATTAATCGATTAGTCGATTATTTTATTTTCAAATAATCGATAATCGATTAATAATCGATTAATCGATTATTTTCGATTAATCGATTATTTTCGATTAATCGATTATTTCCGATTAATCGATTATTTCCGATTAATCGATTATTTTCGATTAATCGATTATTTTCGATTAATCGATTATTTTCGATTAATCGATTATTTTCGATTAATCGATTATTTTCGATTAATCGATTATTTTCGATAATCGATTATTTTAGATTATTCGATTATTTTCGATTATTCGATTATTTTCGATTAATCGGTTATTTTCGATTGATCAATTATTTACGATTAATCTATTATTTTTGAGATAATTTTATGTTTTGTTTTTGTTTGCATATCTAAGGGCCGGTTTATTCACCTTCTGATAAACTGTTAGGTATGCAATTTCGCGGATAATAACGCAATCTGTAATCCCATTGGTCGGCCAGTTATTGGTCGGCCCTTGGTCGACCGAGACAATAATTATAGAAGGGTAAATTGATCTTGCTAATAGTTGTCAACCAGCAAGTCTATCTGAAGATGAATAAACCGGGCCTCAAACTCCAAAGTAACCAGAGAGTTTATTTCAAAACAAGCCGGTTAAGGGCAAGTGAATTTCTTTTACTTCATGAAACCCAAGAAAAAAATCTACCGATTATTGTGAAATAAGCGAATAATCAAAAATAATCGAATAATCAAAAATAATCGAATAATCAAAAATAATCGATAGATCGAAAATAAACGATTTATCAAAAAAAATTATCGATTAATCGAAAATAATCGATTATTTTCGATTAACCGATTACTTTCGATTATTTTCGATCAATTGATTATTTTCGATTAATCGATTATTTTCGATTAATCGATTATTTTCGATTAATCGATTATTTTCGATTAATCGATTATTTTCGATTAATCGATTATTTCCGATTAATCGATTATTTTCGATTAATCGATTATTTTTGATTAATCGATTCTTTTCGATTAATCGATTAATCGAAAATAATCGATTATTTTTAATAATCGATAATCGATTATTTATTTTGATAATCGCCCAGCCCTAGATATGATGCATAAAATAGGTTCAGAATTTAATGTAGAATTCGAAAATGAAATAAAAAACTGGTGTTTTCATTAAAAAAAAAGTTAGCTGTCATAACTTGTTTTTAGGTCACCAAGTGTACATGACCGGTCTGTTTCTGCAGAAATCACAAATCAGTCAGAGTGAATTTTATTGGTTGAAACTAGTTTTCTGACTGTTTCCGACTGTTCTCAACCAATGAAATTCGCTCTGACTGGATGGTGATTTTTGCAGAAACAGACCTGATATTATCATCAAAAAAACTGCCACTTAAGTCAAAAATCGACGTGTCCAAGGTTTTTTGAAAAATATCAATTTTGTATATTTTATGGATTTTATTCCAACATTTTCGTGCAAGTGCAGGTATGGTACAAGAAGTGAAATTTTAAAAATGTATAAAGTTCTTTTTCTGCCAACTTCAGTCTCCATTTAGCGGAAAGTCGCATAAAACAAAAACTCAAACAAAAAAGACTGGAGCAGATTTTTTAAAAATTTTTGCGTATTTAATTAGCAATTGATTAGCAACTAACTGAGAGATACAAGTAGGTGATAATATCGCCAGAAACCCTAACTTTTTGGGTAGAATTGCTCCGTCTTCCACCCAGTGGTCTCGTAAAGGGGGTATATAATGTCGGTACTGATTTTGCCCCGCATCCTACATTTGCGTCTACCATCTCGTTTACTGCTAGCAGAAGTGAGAAAGAAAGATTGAAGAAATACCAAAATAAGGCAATGCGAATTTTTTCGCTCATTAAATTGGCTGTCGTTAGAACAATATTTGGAATACCGAACTATGATTCACTCATGCATAAAATGAAAAATTCTTTACCTCTGTTGTATTTGTCCTCCAAACTTGTATTTGATAACACCGTCTACGAGAATAATTTTAATACACGGTCCCAGACTAATGTTCATGTGACTAGAAAAATAAAATTAAAAAGCTACGGAAAGGGCACTATTTCATAATGGTTTAATCTTGTTTGATAAATTACCCGATTCAATAAAAAGATGCGTTACTAAAACCAAATTTAAAAATACCCCCAAATACCTACAACTCCAACTATGAACAAGTAGAATGCGTTTCTTTATTTATAGTTTTGCAGTAGTAAATGTTGCAATTTTTATAGAGTGTACATATGTATATTTAGCATGTTCTGTAAACTTTGTAATTAGCGGTTTTTGCTAAATAAAGATCTAAAAATATCGGAGAATTTCTTTTTTTTTGCAAAGTTGATTAGCAATGATTACTTAGGTACTTAATTAGAAACTAATAATATTTCAATGAGGAATATATTGTACTTACGACTAAATATATATTTTTTTCTTACAGATCCATTTCTATTTGGAGAGGTTGAGATTCATCCAATATGTCTACCTCTATGGATATATTTTTAAATGGCCCAGACTTCATCCCAATACCAGAATCGCTTGAAATGGGAATGATATCTGAAATGGATTCATTACTGGGCAGTCAGAACGATTTTTCTGGCTTCAACTTTAACAGCTTAGAATTAGAAGAGTTTTCGGACGCTCGGGATTACAGATGGTTTAATACTAACTCAAACCATTCAATCTTCGATCTCAATGGGGATGATGGTCCAACTATGGTCAATCCTAATGCGGTCCTGCCTCTTATGTCTACAAGAGGAAGAAGTCCATCACCTGCCCTAAGAGAAAGTCATTTGACATTTTCTCCAGCAACAATTAAAATTTCATCACTAAAGGCTGATGCTGTAGCAGTGAAACAGGACCTCCTAAATCGTTTTGATGGCAGTAAAAAAGTAGTTAAGAAAACAATGATACCCATCAATCTTCCTCCGATTATCAAATCAGTAGCAAAAGTCCCAATTCTAGCTAAATCTGGATTTAAACCTATTGGTATAAAAGGGCAGACTGGCCAGACTTTGGGCCACTCAGTTATAATAAAAAATGGTATTGGTGAAACTTCTCGTTCTATGTCCATTCAAACACATGCTAAAAAAGTCCCAGTTCAAAAACCGACTCTAGACATAGACGACGAAAACTTCCTATATCCAAAACCAGCCTATAGCTATTCTTGTTTAATAGCAATGGCTTTAAAAAATAGCAGAAGTGGTTCTTTGCCTGTTTCAGAAATTTATAATTTTATGTGCAAGCATTTTCCCTATTTTAAAACTGCACCAAAAGCTTGGAAAAATTCAGTAAGGCACAATTTATCTTTGAATAAATGTTTTGAAAAAATAGAAAAGCCTGCTGTTAATGGAGCCCAAAGAAAGGGTTGTTTATGGGGCATGAACCCAGATAAAATCAATAAAATGGACGAGGAAGTACAAAAATGGTCCAGAAAAGATCCTATGTCCATCAAGAAGGCTATGGTTTATCCTGAAACTCTTGAAGCACTTGAAAGGGGTGAGCTTAAATTTGCTTGCGCCTGTACTGATGAGGAAGGAGAAAATTATATCGATTCATCAGCGGCAGAAAGTGATTCAGATGATTCACAGGAAGAAAGATTGGCATGGAGCCAGGTGCCTATTGAATTTGAATCTCAGGATCTCATAGAGTACGATGAGGTAATTTTAATTATAATATAAGGTTATTTATAGAAACTAATTACAATTTTGTTTTTTTTTCAGTTTAATTCAGGACAAACTGACGATGATCTTGAAGATGACAAGCGAGTAGTGAGACTGAGAATGGGGCTGCCACAGAAAGAGCTAGACTATGAGAAGACCATCAACAATAAGAGAAGGAAGACGCATATAGTCCTCAATCAATAACTAATTTGTACAGTACCTGTAAGAATTTTTTGTATAAGTTAAAATTCTTTAAGAATTTTTTGTACAAATTAGTTCTTTATTTTACAATGGAAAGGTGAAGCTGAGATGGGATTTTCATTCAATGTTTTTCCTTATAGCATGCATATTTTAAAAGATTTATTTTTATTTTTGTTGAGCTATGCACATTAAAACATTTGAATCACAGTATGAAAAAGTTTTCACCTTCATTATTATGATGAACAGATTTGTGTTTTTAATGGACATTTTTTTTTTTGAAATATTTTATTTTCAAGTAGTCTATAATTTGAACTTTATTGCAGTCAACTCTTGACACAGAAGTGTATTATGTACAGGACTGAGAAGATTTGTTCCTTTTTTTTCCCGCTAGAGGCAGCTAATTTGTTCATTTTAAATTTTTTGTTTATTATTATGAATGAAATTATTGCATAAATGAAGTAAAAGCATAAATGAATGTGGATCTGCCTGCTCATTTACACAAGCGTCTATAATAAAATGTTTTATGCCATTCGGCCATGCAGGTCTTTTTGGGCTGAGCTCAACGTTTGGAAGCCCACACTTAGCAGAGGCCTACAATTGAGGCTTTTTGGCCTAATGACATAAATAACTATTATGCATTGCATGTTTTTTTTTCTGATACGGAACATAAGTTGAAACTTGAAAGTACACAGGGACAAATTATTTTTTGAGAACAGAATGAATAGTGATATTTTAAGTATTAGAAAGTGGTTGAATGCAAATTTTTTAACTCCTAATATCTTGAAAACAAATATTGCTTGTTTTAAATGTCATATAGGTAATGTTTCCTTAATTACAGTTAGTTTGTTTTTGAGCCTTATACAATGTTGGTATTTTCTCCCCAATATATTCTATATAAGGTCTGTTCTCACAGAAATCACAAACCAGTCAGAGCAAATTCTATTGGTTGAAAATAGTGAGAAAACTGTTTGTTGTCCTAAGGGATTTCATCATATTTTTGTGCAACTGTCAATAAATTATGTGTTACGCCATACATTTTTTCCCACCTGGATGACGTAACTACAAATAGGAATATATAAAAAAATAGAAACGCAAATCTGATTCACAAAATTATATCAAATAACTATAACTGTAAGTTATAAACTTGAATCTCATTAATTTCCATATCAGCTTTTATATACCTTGAACATTGGATTAGCAATGTAATTACTATAAAAAAATTTATTATGAATGGATTCTATAATCCAATAGGATAATATTTTGGAAGCTGTGTAAGAAGGTGATAATATGTGTATATTGATAACGTTTGAGTTAGTATTAGTGCAGTTGAAGCGATAGAAAATAATGTAGATGTTTTATTTTTACAACCGAGCTATCAAGACTGCCATATTTTCCACTGTTCAAAAAATAATTTTTTAATGCCTAATTATTGGGCATTATTGTTTAGTTATTAAATGTCCTAAACCAACACCCACCCCGAGCAAACTCTAGCTGCTCATGATGGGTGATGGATAAATTCATTAACACTCTTTCTTTATTTTCCTTTCATTGACTTTTTCCCAAGACTGGAAAATAAAGAACAAATTTGTTCATTTTCGATTGAAGAACATAATAATAATATTAATAATAATAATAATAATCATAAAACCTTATAGTGATGTCTTTATTTGTAAATTATGAGACTTTACAAAAAGGCGAAGTTGAAGCTGAGCTTCGTTACTTAACCTATATATTGTAAGTTCTGTTTATGGAACCTATAGATCATTGTCGATTTTGAGTGTTTGCCAACTTTCTCTCTCAATGGACAATGTTCTTATTCTGCAAATAACTAAACTGCTCCACAGGAGTTAAGAATATGAAGTTTTCTTTGTAAAAAAAACAAGGTGTCTGTTTTTATGTAAATATAAACTTTATTATAATAAATAAACACTTTTTTGAAATTCTGCTGCTGGTATTTGGTATTAATGTACTGTAAATTTTTTTTCATAGAAAACATCCATAATCTTAACTACTGTGGAGCAGCTTCCGAAAATAGCAAATATTGGCTCATATGAATAAAACAGAAGCAAATGCTTTTTCTCAAGTTTTTTGAGATAAACATACATATTCAGCTTTAATGCAGCAAAAAGAGATGGAGGTAGTGTAAAAGCATTTGCTACACTTGATTTATATGATTGATTGACATTTTTGATAGAAAAAGTCAATATTTTCTTCCACCTCTAGTCGTTGCCAGGAAACGGAAGGTAACTGGAAGAAAATATTTGTGATTATAATTTGTCCTTTCAAGTCGAAAAAAAAATTAAAATGTCAAAACTTGTCGGAAATGAATGAAATTATTTTTAGTTGAAATTATGATGATTTAAAATGAAATAGTGTACAAACCTCGGTAGGAAGTTTCGTTCCGCGTCGCAGTTAACTTATTAATCTTTTTACAGGAATGGAACAGTTCCCACCTTGGTTTGTGATGTACTATTTGTATGTGGTTGTTTTTAGTGCTGGGCCGATACCTCCTTTCAGATACTGACACTGATATTTGTGATACCTCCTTGGTTAATGGTCAATATCGAAATTTCGTTTTTTTATTATAAAATTTATATTATAAAAGTACAATTTTCTTGTCAAAACTGTTTACCTTCTGCAAGTATCTCAATTCATATACTTGTATATAAATTGGGTTTCAAGGAGTATCAGAAAATCCTGAATATGGTATCGGCCTAGCCCTATCTTTATATTAAAGTTAGTTCGTAATTATGTATCTCTTTTTGCGACCATTGAACCTGTATTTTGTAAATTTTACACTAAGGGCCGTTTTTTCATCAACTTGACCTTGTTTTTTTTTCTGTTATGGAAATATCATGAAGATTTTGAAAATAAATTTCCGAAAATCAGAGAATTCTTGACAGTGAGTCGAATTAAACTGAGTGTGTTTTTCAAAGATATGAAAAAATAAAAAAATATGTACTGGGAGCCTGGTAGTGATATCCAATATTGCAGGGTTCTAGCAGACTCGACAAATTAGTGAGCTCGTATTCAGTCCAGCATGCACAAGGTGTAGAATATGGCGGCACTGAACATAGTTTGATTTATTATTTATAGTTTAACCATAGATGAAAAAAAGTCCTAAATCTGTTAAATTTACATTTTCATTGGTGTATTTTGAATCTTGACTGATTATTTTTACATTCGTATATATTTTGTTTAATGTGTTTAGTTGTAGTCATACTTTTTGTTTTTAAATGTAGTTTAATTTATTATATTTGCAATACTTCCAATGACGCCTTTAAAAACTTTCTACATTTTCTGCGCTCATTGGAAAAAAAACTTGTGTATGTCAATTTTGTTTTTTACAAAAATAAACGTGGAGGTAGTTAGACTATTTATTTGTTTATTTATTTCAAGAATCAGTTCCATTACAACCACTCCACTCAGCATTATGTTTGGTGCAATGTATTGTATAACTTTTTTAAAATTTTGTAAATTGATATTATAGTTAATATCTACATCTGATGCAGAGTGATTAAAAGTGTAACATAAACAAACAGTGGCAAACTTTTGTACAGGTTCGTTCTTTGAAGCGCAAAGGTAGAAAATTGTAGATTATGAGATTTTGATTACGAGGGAAAGACTGTAAGAGAACTTTTTTAAATTTCACCTTAAACCATGTTCGCTGCACCAAGCGGCCACACTTTCAAGATCTTTTTGAAGTGCTTCTCAGTCAGAGCTTGATAGGTGTTTATTATATACTCACAAAGTGAGTTAAATGCAGAATTTGGATAATTAGTTTTATTGAAATATTTCTTTTATGACAATCATAATGACATAATGTCCTCAATAGGCTCTTACAATAATCATCCCAGCAAAACCTTAATAAATAGGTACCCCTACTTTAATTACTGGTTACTATTTTATGCAAAATGGAACAGGTAAGGGATACAACAATTTCCCCCCTTTCTAAAACATAATACAAATAAAAATAACAACTATAGCACAAACGCATATACATCTACGTGACATCTCCGCATAGTTGTAATAATAAAATTTAATTGAAACTGATTTACTTGGCCGTATAATGACCCACACCTAATTTCTAGAATTGTTTCCTCGACCTCGACAGGGTGCGTACTTCAGATTAATAATAGCTTTGTTTCTGCAGAAATCACAAACCAGTCAGAGCGAATTCCATTGGTTGAGAACAGTCAGACAACTAGTTCCAACCAATGAAATTCACTCTGACTGGTTTGTGATTTCTGCAGAAACAGACCTAATAAAACTAGACATAGGCGTCGGCTTTCTGAAATCGGTATGGGTGCTTAGCCAAAGGTGGCATAAAATAGCTAAAGGGTTTCTTTTTGGTACCACTGCCAAAAATGATTTTAGAACCCTTAAACTACCCAAAAATCTACAGAAAAATTTCTTTTTATCAAATTATTTAATTAATATCAACCTAAAAAAATAGCTGCTTACGAAGTAACCATTTTCTGACATAACTCCAAGAAAACAAAAAAGGGACCGAGTTGCACGTACGATTTGATAGTTTTGACACAACTAAATTAGAATCTTACCTCCCTCTTTATCCCTGCTTAGACACCTGTATTTTCGACTGAGATATCTAAGTTGTGGCGAATTCGAGAACTTTAACATTGCAACGTATATTTTGATCAGCTTTATTAGAATTTCGCGTACGATCAAACAACTAAGCTAGCTAAGGTAAGGAACTATAAAATTAACTTAACTTAGGTAAGAAAAGTGCTTGTGCGTAAGCTACTTTTTTCAATCGTGTTCATTCAAGAAAGATGAAAAACAAAAAGCTGGTGATCGGGTTCATCGGAACAGCGTTTCCGAAAAGCCCCATTGTGTACCGCTGCTTGCGTCAGGACTGGTTTCTCAATAGCAAGTCACCTTCGTCATAACTCCAGGATAAACATTGCAACTGGACACGTTTACTCTGGAATTAAAACCAACCCGGAGGTGACTCGCTATTCAGAAACCGACCCTCAGCGGTCGTAGATCGGACCCTTGGATCCAAGGTTTTTTGAAATGTCTGATAACTTTTATGACGTCATCTGGGGTGCCCAAACATAATGCAAATCTCCATTAGGCATCCCAGATGGCGTCATCTATTTCCCATTACCAGATAACCTATTAACTTTAGGAACCTTGCCTTGGATCGAACAGAGGCGCGGGGCCCACGGCACCCGGCGGGACCAAATGACGCGCGCGTGGCATCCAGCGGGACCATATGAGAATTGAGAGTTGCAAAATGTTGCGGTTCCGCCTATAGGGGTGTATCGCAACGCAAATAAATTTGGCATTCACAGTGATTAGTAATAGTAGGTAATAATGGTGATAATAACAATTACATCCTAGATATTATCAAAGTGTATACCTTGTGGTGCCGATAAAACTACAAATGTTTGAATCTTTTGTTGATTTTTTCATTACTTTAATTAGGGAAATTATACATTCAAAATTTTCCGTATGGGTGCTCCGCACCCACACTATATTCAGTATGGGTGCTTGCGCACCCATAGCACCCATGGAGTCGCCGCCTATGAAACTAGAGACCAAACATGCCATTCAGAAATCGCCCAATGTTTACACTTATCATCTTTTAGTCCATGACATAAGTAAGAGAGAGATAGACCTATAAAACGGCAACACTGTTCCTTCCTCTGAATTTTTCCCAGAATTCAATAGAAGTTTTATTCACAATAAATTACTATAAATATCCTCTAACTACGCCAATGTCAAGAGTAAAATGATGTCAAATTTCTTACTGCCGAAATATTAAAATGTGCTTGGAATTATTACAAATACGGTATCCGCCAAAATAAACAGTACCGAAATCTAGAGCTCTGAGTAATTGCGCACGCAAGTTGTATTTATCATATTTCGCTCGCTTACTTGAGATTAGTTATGAGGTTGACATCAAGTTAAGGTTAAAATTGTTGTTTATAATAAATTGAATTGAATAGAAACCGTTTTCTTAGTAGAGCATTATTTCCGGTCATACGGATTTGGAAGGAATAAAGGCTCAAGTTTGAAACAAGTCTCAGAAAAATTTCAGAAACCACTCTTAATAAATATTTTTCAATGATTTGCAGAATCGTTATGAAGCTTTTTTACGTCGCTATGATGCATTTTTTGAACCTATAGGCATGATACAGATTGATAAATGATATACTTTATATGTTCAGTAGTTTATTTTGGCGGATACATACATCGACGTACCATTTTAACGTTCTCCACCACACTTACCAAAGTTTTAAATCCAAAAATACCACTGGATTAACACTCAAAATCACAAAATTAGCTCTATGACTTCACAGCAACACTGCCAAACCCGTTATGGATGACATATGTCACATAGGATCACGATCATCTGATTCGCTGCTCCTAGATGCAACGTTGCCGATGTGCCAGTTTTCCAGCAATATATTCCTGTGTTATTCTAGAATTTTCACCAATTTAAATTAAAAAAGACTAACTATCCTATTCAAAAAGGCATTCAAGTTATGTTTCAACAAAGCTTGATATAAAAAAGCATTTACATTATGTTAAAACCATATAGCTATTATACTAACGTATATCGCGCCTTCCCCATTTACCCAGTGTGCGGTTTTTGAAGCAAACAAAGAGAGATAAAGATCTGGCATAAGTCTATCTAAAGTAGAACAAGGTCACCAACTGCGCTTGCGTTAAACTCTAGATTCTTATTGGCCGGCGGTTTTGCCATTTTGCAACAAGCTTTTCGTGCCGTGTTGTCATGTCAAGCTAAAAAGTACAATGAAATAGGATCATTTTTTGAGGTTATAATTTGGTCGATTGTATTTTGAATCCGAAACACTAATAATAGTTGTATTCCTTTCACACCTAGGAGGAGCTCCGGAACAGCTCCAGGGCTTCACACGCTTATTCCTTTCGAAAAGTGTTTGTTGCACCACGCATATGTTCCTTGCAAATCGGGGGCGACTGAATACCGGAGCGAGTAGCTCGAGTGTTTCAAACTCTTGAAAGGAATACAACTAATAATGAATATATTAGTTTATTTGTCGAAATCGAGTTTGTGTTACACACCAAAATACAAAATTCGGCATGTTTTTTGTGAATGTTTAAATAACTCGAAGATGCAAATAATTTTATTGGCAACCCTGCAATATCAGCTGTTTAAAACTAAATCTTATTGGAGGAATAACTTCAAATTGACGTATGCGCATTGGAAAAAACAAGTTCACTTTAGACAAAGAAGGCATCGTTCTATCTCATAATGTTTGCTTCAAGAATTCAAACTAAACCAGGGATGTTCCAAGGTGCACAATTGTGCATATTATGCACAATCTGATCTCAATATGCACCATATGCACAATCTTCATAAAATATGCACAATTTTCAAAGTCTGTTCGCACAGAAATCACAAACTAGTCAGAGCGAATTACATTGGTTGAAAACAGTCAGAAAACTAGTTTCAACCAATGAAATTCACTCTGACTGGTGCGAACAAACCACATAATGGCGGCTGTTAGTGAAAAGGTTTATCGCGAGTCGCTAGTAGAGTTAGGTTTATCCTCCTCGAGCGAAAAGATGCCAACCACACATGTGACCAGTTTTGTAACTTCAAATGAGCTTCTGTCAACAATGTCATCTTTTAGCTCACGAAGTATTAACCGAACTCGCCTACTGTAATTTTTATTTTATTTCGTCGCCATCTATGAGCATCAATTTTTTGAAAACTTGTAGGACGTTCTACCCCAAGGTTCCCAAAGTTAATAGGTTCCCTGATAATCGGTAACTTGATGACACATCTGGGGTGCCTCATGGAGATTTGCATTATGATGAAGCATCCAAAATGACGTCATCAGGCAACCTGCTTCTCTCAAATAACCTTGGTTCTATCCCTGCTTTCTCTGAAACCCAAGAGTCTTTTTTACGTGGCTCGGGTTTAAACTAATCGGGTTATGAAACGGTAAGTAGGGGTATGTCAAATGATGACGTCATTAAAAATGCCACTTGAAATCGAACGGTTAAGGAAAATGTTATTATAAATTAGGAAATTAAATGGCCTGCCAATATTTATAATAGGTTGATGTACCCTCTACAAATTTCAATAAATTTTACGTATATTTTGGAAAAAAAGTACCCCATTATTTACATTTTAACTTTAATTGCTTCTATATTCGTCAATTGATTAGGTGAGTAAAAACTTCAAAATAATATTAACAAAACACACAATTTTTTATTCAAGTTTACAAGTGTTACAATTTTCCCGAAATAACATACCGTTTTCTAATTCTAAGGCCAGAGTCTCATGCATCCGTTTTCCTACAAAAGATGTCCGAAAAACCTTCTATTCTGACATATTTTTATACGATTATGTCGAA